ATGAGAGAGCAGAAAATGACAGCTAAACACAAACACCACAAAAGTGTAAAAAGATGCCTGGTCCTTAACGTACAACATCGCAAAAACAGGCCAGTCCTTAAGGGGTTAAGTGGATGCAGTGTTTATGTAATGTATGCAGAGTGTGTTTGTAGTAGATGCAGTGTCTATTTGTAGTGGATACAATGTTCGCTATATATATATATATATACACATTCAGAATGTAGAGCACTGGTGACCTAGCCCATATAGTCGTATCGGCTGTACCACCCAGGCTGACTGTATGTTATGTGTTTGTTTGTGCTGGCTGTGTGTGTTTGTCTGTGCTGGCTGTATGTGATGTGTGTGCTTGTTGGCTGTATGTGGTTGTGATTTATGAAATTGCGATACACTGTTTGAAACACTCATACTGTTGCTCCCTGCACCTTCCTGTAAACTACAGCAGCCCACCAGGGGCTATTCCTGCACTGCACCTGTAGAAGGTACAGTCCCTTCCCAGCAACTATCCCTGCAAGGCAGTCTTGCCACTTACCTACGGCAGGGCTAAAATAATAAAAAAATGTCCTGGCCCTTGATGCCAAGAACTGCGTGTCGGGCAATATAAGTTCCACACCCCTAAACCTGGCTTATAGTGAATGAATTTTGAGTCCAGAACTTCTACATTATACTTTGGGGTTAGAAAGAAATGGATTGCATAGAGCTATCTAGATCAGGGCTTCCCAAACTTTTATGGACCGAGACCCACTTTTCAAAACGGTAATTTTTCAAGACCCACTTGCTTTTAATGCATATTTTAAAAAGTGAACACCATGGCAATAAGCTTTGGAGGCATACAGTTGGTACACCATAACAATCCGCTTTAGATGCACACAGTTGACACACCATGACAATTACTTTTAGAGAAATAAAATTGGCACACCGTGGCAAACAGCTTTAGAGGCATGCAATTGGCAAACTAAAGCAATCCGCTTTAGATGCATACAATTGGCACACCTTGGAATCCGCTTTAGATGCATACAATTAGCACACCTTGGAATCCGCTTTAGATGCATACATTTGGCACACCTTGGAATCTGCTTTAGATGCATACAATTGGCACACCTTGGAATCTGCTTTAGATGCATACAATTGGGACACCTTGGAATCCGCTTTAGATGCATACAATTGGCACACCGTGGAAATCCGCTTTAGATGCATACAATTGGCACACCGTGGAAATCCGCTTTAGATGCATACAATTGGCACACCGTGGAAATCCGCTTTAGATGCATACAATTGGCACACCGTGGAAATCCGCTTTAGATGCATACAATTGGCACACCGTAGAAATCCGCTTTAGATGCATACAATTGGCACACCGTGGAAATCCGCTTTAGATACATACAATTGGCATACCATGGCAATCAGCTTTACAGGCATACAATTGGAACATTATGGCAGCTTTAGATGTATAAAATTGGCACACTATAGCAATCCGCTTTAGATACATACAATTGGCACACCGTGGCAATCAGTTTTAGAGGCACAAATCTGGCACACCATGGCAATCCGCTTTAGATGCATAAAATTGGTACATCATGGCAATCAGTTTTAGAGGCATACAATTGGAACATCATGGCAGCTTTAAATACATAAACTTGGCACACCATGGCAATCAACTTTAGAGGCATAAACTTGGTATATCATGGCAATCACTTTTAGATGCATAAACTTGGCACATCATGGCAATAAGTTTCAGAGGCATACAATTGGCACACCATGGCAATCAGTTTTAAAAGCATATAATTGGCACACCATGGCAATCAGCTTTAGATGCATCAAATTGGCATAACATGGCAGTTTTAGAGGCAGAAACTTTGCACATCATGGCAATCAGTTTTAGAGACATACAACTGCTTACTCACAGACTCAGAATCAGAAGTGCTGTGTACTGCTCTTTCATTCGGGCACCTCACGTTGATTATCCCAGTGGTGGAACTAATGTAGAGAGGACCCTGGTGCAAGTTTGTTTTCTGGGCCCCCCTCTAGTGAAAGTGTAGCCAAAAGGTAGACCTCCATCTGTCGGAGAACTTCAACAATGCTATGCCAGATGGAGATCTACCATTTGCACGGTTATATTTGTGAGCAGTGTTTGAATGTAAGTATGTTTTTGTATTAAGTATATGTGTGCATGTATGGTTGTATTTGTATGTACTGTTGCTATTGGAATGTTGTGGTGTACTTGTTTGTAATGTTTGCTTCTGAATGCAGGGGTGTTTGTAGATAATTTCAGTGTTTTAATGCAGGGGTGTGTTTGTATGTAATATTTGCGTTTGATTGCTGTGTGTGTGTGTAGTGGATGCAGTGTGTGTATATTGTGTTTATAAAATATACATATACACAATGTGTGTTTTAATGTAAGCATGTTTTTTGTATGGAGTATGTGTGCAGTGTATATATACACACACACACACAAATACACACATTGACACAGCAACACGCACAATGACACCTAGTTTCCCCCACACAGATACAGACACTCATGTACACAGATACACACAAATACACACACACTGACACAAAAGGACATGCAGAGACGGGAGGTGAGGGTGACAGTGTGGGAGGGAGTGTGTGTACTGGTAACAGTGTGGGGGGCAGGGTGAGAAAGGGTTACAGTGGGCGGGCAGAAAGAGAAAGGGTTACAGTGGGCAAGCAGGGAGAGAAGGGGTTACAGTGTGGGGAGAAGGGCAGGGCGAGAAGGGGTTACAGTGTGGGGAGAGGGGCAGGTAAAGAAGGGGTTACAGTGTGGGGAGAGGGAGAGAAGGGGTTACAGTGTGGGTAAAGGGAGATAAGGGGGTACAGTGGGGAGAGGGGCAGGGAGAGAGAAGGGGTTACAGGGGGGTAGGCAGAAAAGGGGTTACAGTAGGGTTATGGGGGGGCAGGGAGTGAAGGGGTTACGGGGGCAGGGCCAGAAGGGGTTAGGAGTGGGGGAGGGAGGAAGGTTACAGTGGGGGCAGGGCCAGCCGGGGTTACAGTGTGTGGGCAGAGACAGAAGGGGTTACAGGGGGGGACAGAGAAGGGGTTACAGTGGGGGGAGAGAAGGGATTACAGTGGGGGAGGGGCAGGGAGTGAAGGGGTTACAGTGGGGGGGAGGGGCAGGAGTGAAGGGCCAGAAGGGGTTACAGTGTGGGCAGGGCAGCCAAGGGGTTACGGGGGTGGAGGGGGGCAAAGAGAAAAGGGGTTACATGGGGGTGCAGGGTCTGGGGGCTGTGTCCTACCTGAATTCCCTGGTGGTCCAGTGGGTTAACTCTCCGGTCTGAGCTCCGCCAGGTGCAGAGCTGCAGACAATGTTATAAAAGTCTTACGAGCTCCCAGAGTGTTGCCATGGTAACTCTCTGGGTGCTCGCGAGACTTCTATCACACGGTCTGCAGCTCTGTACCCGGCGGAGCTGCAGACCGGAGGTGCTGGGCGGCATACATGGCAAGCCTCCGGGCTCCCTCCTGGTGTCGGGCCCGCGGTCACTGACCAAGAGCCAGACTAATCAGTCTGCCTGACTAGCCGCCGGCACTGCATGTGTGGGTCAGCGCGACCCACTGGGGATCGCCCTGCTACCCACACTTTGGGAACCGTTGATCTAGATAATTGCTCAGTACCAAGAGGTTAAGTATTATTTCTATACATGCAAAAGAAAGATATTTCATCTGTCTGGATAGTTCATCCATCAGTACTCTAAGTGCAGGGTGACTCCAATAGAATGAAGTCCACACTTCAAAACTGATGTATGATTTGACTGAATTTAATTTTTCATCGAGAAATATATAGTAAAGCCTCATATATAGCCTCATATCTTATAGACCAAGAAATAAAGGGATCATCAATTACATCATTCCTAAAGCAAAGATGTGAGCAAACCTTGTGTTCACCTCTATGGCTAGTGTGTTTTACACTAATAGACCCACTTTATCACTCTAAGAATATGTTTTGGAGGAGCAGAATTACCAGTAATCCACTGTATTTGAAGATCAACGTGCTGCAGCCATTTGATAAGTTAATGGCACTTCATGCTGGGTAAGCAGCTCCTTTCTGTGGGTAATAACAATAATGTTGCTGGAGGAGGTAAAATTGCATAAATAGAATAAATATACATATACAATCTGTTGCAGAACATATTAATGACATGGAGGGAGACAGTAGCAATTTGTTGGTTCGTGTGAAAAACTTGTTTTTTAAATGAAAATAAAATGTGTTGGTTCGTGTGAATGAATTTTCTAAAACTGGGATTAATTTACATTCGTACATATGTATCCTAGACAAATATGTAAATATAAGTCTAATATTTAAATATTTATATATGATATATTTAATAAATAATAGGGTTATCTATTAATGTGAAAATTCTAAGTGAATTTTAAATTTAAGGTCAAAATGGCCAAAGTCAAATTTTTTAAGTCTCTTACTTTCTATGCTTCTGCTCCTGGCAGCTGGCGATGTCTCCCCAAACCCTGGTCCTTCCTATCCCTACCTACCTTGTGTCCACCCCAGAAACCCCTCCAATCGTATATCCATCCCATGTAACTCTCCCTATAAGCCCTCCTTCCATTCTGTTCCTTGGAATGCATGCTCTTTGTGCAACATAACTAAATTACAGTTAAGGGGGGTTTGGGCTCTGACCAAGATGGCCGCTTAACTCCCGAGCTCCGCAACATCTGTGCCCTATATAGCGCTACATTTTACGCTACAAAGTGCAAATGGGACACACCCATTGCCCAGAGCCTCCCCAGACCCCGAGGGGATCCCAGCATTGTCCTTCGACCAGCCCCATGGATGGCTTCCCCAGAACTCCGTCTGAAGTGGGCGGGGGGAAAGGGAGTCCTAAGATGGCACCGGCCTCAGCTACCTCCCCACTGGGCTCTGAATTTTACGCCCTGGAACGTATTGAAGAGGATCTTTGACATATAGCAGCTTCTATGGCCACAAAGGCCGATCTCCAAACACTTACCTCCAGGATGCCGTGCGGGCCGAGATGGCTGGGCTTCGGAATGAGGTAGCTGCACAGGAAGGCCGCATTGTGGTGCTGGAGCGCTTGGCTGAGGCCCAGGCTGCGAGTGTCACTTCATTTGATATGGCGGTGGCACGGCAAGGGGAAGTGTTGCTGGCCATGAGACGACACCTAGAAGACTGTAGGTGTAATATTCGGGTCCGAGGGGTGCTTGAAGGAGATGGAGAGGAAAATGTGGAGGAGGTGCTCGCAGGTCTGTTTCGGGTAATTCTGAGCGATAATGCGCCATTGCATTTTGAATTCGAGAGGGCCCATAGAGCCACGAGACAGCGGTCCTCTGTTAACACCCCACGGGACCTGATCTGTAGTATGCACTCGTTCCCAGAGGGTGGATGAAAGGGACCACACGAGGTACAGGAATGCAATATTGGGAATCTGAAGTTCTATCCAGAGGGATGATGGTCCCCGGCAGAGTACTGGGTGTCTCCCCCTTTTATCTAGCTTATATATAAGTTTTTATTTTATTTTTTTCCTTCTTCTTTTGATTTGCTCATTTTAAGAGATCTCTCTCTCTGTGGTTACTATTATGGGGTTTTATGTGTGTGACCCTTCGGCATGTAGGCGACATCCCTGATGATGCCTCTCTCTGATTGTCTCAGCCTCATCTGCTATATTGATCAATGGTAAGCAATGATTTTACAGTACATGTATTAAAGGGACACTATAGTCACCAGAACAACTACAGCTTATTGAATTTGTTCCGGTGAGTAGAGTTATTACCTTCAGGCTTTTTGCTGTAAACACTGTCTTTTCAGAGAAAAGGCAGTGTTTACATTACAGCCTAGTGATAACTTCACTGGCCACTCCTTAGATAGCTGTTAGAGATCTTTCCTGGGTCATGGCTGCCTAAAATGCATCCAAACATTCAGTGTCTCCTCCCTCTGCATGCAGACACTGAACTTTACTCATAGAGATTCATTGATTCAATTCACCTCTATGAGGAGATGCTAATTGGCCAGGGCTGAGTTTGAATACTGCTGGCTCTGCCCCTGATCTGCCTCTTTGTCAGTCTCAGCCAATCCTACGGGGAAGCACTGTGATTGGATCAGGCTACCACTTCTGATGATGTCAGCAGACTGCTTGTTTTTCTGAGGCAAACCGCATACAGATTTACAGCTTCATGCTTGCATACAGTAAGAGTTTGCTATATTTATGGAGGCATGAGGGGCCCAGGGTGTCTAGATGGTGGTTCTAACACTATAGGGTCAGGAATACATGTTTGTGTTCCTGACCCTATAGTGATCCTTTAAGATTGAATAGTATACAATGCAGGTCTATACGGAGGGGTATGTTGCCATGTTATGCTGTACCTTGGGGTAGGGAGTGGTTTGATTGCCCTCCTATTAGGGACAAGTGTGGGGGCGATGCAGAGGGTAGGTGAAAGGGACCGCATGAGGTACGGGAATGCAATATGGGGAATATCCAGAGTGATCATGGCCCCCGGCAAAGTACTGGTATTTCGATTGAGACTAACACTTAATGTATTGCTATGTAGCAATTTAGTTTCTCATATGTATAACGTAGGGGCTCATGGTGGGGCGGAGGCATTGCTTTATGTTATTTTGATATGACAGTGGTGCGGGGCCTGGACCACGATCCTACCACAGAGGTGGTCGTTTCTAGGTCTGGTTACCAGGGCGACTCCCTAGCATTTCTCATTATCACACGAGTTCCCTCTCATTTAGTGGAGGGATTTTTTGGAACCTCTTTAGTCCTGCCTTGGGTACTGTAATGTTATTTATTAATTAATGACTTTTTGTCATAAAAAAAGCATAATGAGCTTAATGCTTTAGATGCACCACTAGATGTCAGTAAAGCATATATAGTGTAATGCTTTGGGGGCACCACTAGGGGGAGTGTGTAGGAAGACCTGTGCTTCTGGCAGTGACATCACAGGCCAGCCTACTTACACTGAATAAAACCCAGATGTGAGGAGAAGCGAGCTCTCTGTTTGCCTGTACCTGACTGATCATGTAGCACCAGCTCTGACTTAGCCCCAGCCCTTTGGCTGGGGCCTTGTAAGTAATATGTTTGTATTGTAACAGTTAGCAATTGTAATAGCCTTAGCAACCAATAGTGTTTTGTGTAGTATTGTATTGTATAATTATTGAAATTGACATTCCGCTAGCATCTGTTTATTTATTATAGTTATATTAAATATACATTTAATATTACAACGTTTTGTGTATTTTCTATCCACATATTCGACCATAATACCATGAATTATAAAAATATTAATGTTGTTCCGTATTGCTTAATTATTATGTATTAAGAGATTAATATTCATATTTAGGTCACGACCACAACAGGTACTATTCTCTGGCATATTCTGTTTCTTTTTCTTGCTTCTCATACTTCTCTTCTCTCACTAATTCCTCTATCTCCAATAGCTTGGTGCTTCCCTGGTTGCCCCCTACATCTTTCTTTCTTTGACTGGGGTTGGGCGTGATCAGGGGACCTGCCTGTGTCACTTACTAAACCGCCTTCAATTGACTCTCCTTTTCTTTCTCTTTGCTTTCGCCCCCTTTGGAGGGCAGGCCTCACCACGGGATTGGGAACTACGCGCAAAAGGAGTGGGGTGCACGTGCAGTCTTTTCCGTGTACTGCTGGACTCTGACCATGAGGGGACATGGCCTACCGTCCGGCTCCTTTGTCTGTCCTCACTCTTAACTGTAGGGGCTTAAATATCCTGGAACGCAGGTCCAATTTATTGAAGAAATTGCATGGAAACACACTTTGTTCACAGGGTGGCTCCCAGGTTTCAGAACTGTTTCTATCCGGGTTATTTCTCCTGTAATAATCCATTAGCCCGGAAGGCTGGAGTAGCTATTCTCCTTGCTGCTGATGTACAATTTAGGGAACTCGACCGTAGAGACGACCCGGGTGGTCGGTTTCTCTTTCTTAAGGGAATTATCACCGATAAGATTTACACCTTTGCATCTCTGTATGTCCCCAACCGTAGACAAGCTCAGTTTATCAAGAGGGATCTAGGTTTGGCGGATTGCTGGCGGACTGTCCATCATTATATTAAGGATTATACACACTTGTAACAACACCCCGGGTATAGAAGGGGTTAAAACCGTTTAAAGATGTTCCCTTCCCGAATATTAAGGCAGCTACCAAACACTCCAATCAGTTGAACAAGAAGTATACGAATCATCCACACTCCAAACAGCCAAACAAGAAAATACACAAATAAATCCCCCCAAGTATGAGACAAGGCTCTGTATTGAGGGTCAAACAGGAATCTGTTTAATCTGGGCTACCTGCCCGCCTTTTATGCAGGTCTCCCACCAAGTGGACACTCCCACAGGGTACCTGGTGGAAAACTGTGACAAAATGTTGCATTGACCAATCACAGTAGTACACGGATAAACACCAGCATTTACACAGTATAGGACCCTCCTCTCTATCCTGGAGATAATTGGGAAGCAACTCAATTATCTTAGAGGATAGAGAATAAACTCCATTTTACAAGGCATAATAAAAATTCATAAAAATATATAATTCACAAACTACCAAATGAAAACCCCACATTCAACGTATCCCTAAATAGCCTGGATCTGAGTTCACAATATTACCGAATGGCGCTCAGATCATATACATACAGTTCAATCGTCATGGGACAACTATCTGGGGTAGCTCAGTTCGTATGGTTCATGTCCCGAACGGCACGTTCGTTTGTTTGTATAAACGAATGGGAAGAGGACGGAGGAGGTCAGTGACTTCAGCGGTGTTCGCATGAAATATTGTCTGTTTTCAGTTCCATGATTTTGTCGAAGAACACTGCTGGCCGCGTTCGACTAAACAAGATGGCGGCCACCCAGCGGTCGACAATTAAGCTGCGGTTAACCGCAGCTTCTGGGAGGTAAATTAGCTGCACACTGCATACGAAGGTGGACCGGCTGTTCATTTGTTTGGTTGGTAAATTCCATTTACCGAACAACATACACCCTGTTCCAAATTATTATGCAAATTCTATTTAAGTGTCACAAAGATTAAATATTTTGTTTTTCAGTTTAACTCATGGCATTGTGTCTCAGGGCTCTTTTGATCACTGAAAACAATCTCGGACACCTGTGATAATTAGATTGCCAGGTGAGCCCAATTTAAGGAAAAACTACTAAAGGAGGGTGTTCCACATTATTAAGCAGAGCACCATTTTCATGCAATATGGGGATGAAAAAGGATCTCTCTGCTGCCGAAAAGAGTGAAATAGTTCAGTGCCTTGGACGAGGTATGAAAACAGATATTTCATGAAAACTTAAGCGTGATCATTGCACTATTAAGAGATTTGTGGCTGATTCAGAACACAGACGGATTCGTGCAGATAAAGGCACATTGAGGAAGATTTCTGCCAGATCCATGCATTGGATCAAGAGAGCAGCTGCTAATATACCATTACATAGCAGCAAACAGATATTTGAAGCTGCTGGTGCCTCTTGAGTCCCACGGACATCAAGGTGTAGAGTCTTGCAACTGTGCATAAACCTTCTATTTGGCCACCACTAACCAATGCTCACAAGCAGAAACGGCTGCATTGGGAAGAAAAATACATGAAGACTAATTTTCAAACAGTCCTGTTCACTGATGAGTGACGTGCAACCCTGGATGGTCCAGATGAATGGAGTAGTGGATGGTTGGTGGACGGCCACCCTGCTCCAACAAGGTTGCGATGTCAACAAGCGGTGGTGGAGTCATGTTTTGGCCCGGAATCATTGGAAGAGAGCTGGTTGGCCCCTTTAGAGTCCCCGAAGGTGTAAAGATGACCTCTGCAAAGTATGTGGAGTTTCTGACTGACTACTTTCTTCCCTGGTACAGAAGGAATAACTATGCTTTCTGTAATAAAATCATCCTCATGCATGATAATGCATCATCTCATGCTGCAAAGAATACCTTTGCATCAATGGCTGCTATGGGGATAAAAGGAGAGAAAGTCATGGTGTGGCCTCCATCCTCCCCTGACCTCAATCCTATTGAGAACCTTTGGAGCATCCTCAAGCAAAAGATCTATGAGGGTGGAAGGCAGTTAACATCCAAACAGCAGCTCTGGGAGGCTATTCTGACATCTTGCAAACAAATTCAAGCAGAAACTGTCCAAAAACTCACAAGTTCAATTGATGCAAGACTTGTGAAGCTGCTATCAAATAAGGGGTCCTATGATAAAATGTTTAAAAAAGTTAAAATGTTGTTATAAGTTTGAT